CATTCAGGTTCTATTCAATTATAATTTAAAAAGACGTCTATTTTGAAATCAATAGAAAACTTACTTGTAACAGTCAATCTCTTTTTATAGACTTTTTCGACGTAACTAAGAATGGTAAATATTGAATGAAAACCTTAAATTAGATATAATGATGTAATAGATATATGCGCATTAATCCCTTAAAAATGCATCAGAACTAATTGTTTATAAGAGTGTTCTTGTGTTTATTGCTGTTGTCTTGGTACCGCTTACCAAATTTTTAAATATCAAGTTACAATAATAGGTCAGATGATCTCGCCATTGCTATCGAATAAAATCTCAAATGTAAAACATTGAGTAACTATAATTTTACATTTTTAACACAAGTGTAGCCTAGCGCAAAATATACATTTTAGATACAAATCTTTCAGTCCGTAAAATATCAGTTAAAATATTGAATGCTTCGTAAAACAATTTTTTAAGCATTCCCCGAGCTATTGTTTCTATAAAATCTATCTATAACACTATAATAATTAAGTATTATACATTTATTTTCAGAGAAATATAATATTTATAGTTTCTTGGCTTCATTAATCTACTTCAAAGGCACCAGAAAAAAACAAACCAGTATTCAGCATGCATGAGGTGATAATTAGAAATGAAATTTGCATTCTTAGTGTACGATGAAATTTCAATGTAGGTTATTCTTTAATTGTTCCTTCAGGCGACAAACTATTCTCTATTCTAAACAAAATTTTGCTTCTAAATGCAAGCCTGTCGGAACGGTCTATATTTATTGCAAGAAATGAAGAATAAAGTACACATATATTATTTAAGCAAGTAAAACATATTCTTAGCATACCCTGCAAATAACCGACTTTCTGCTTTGATATATTCTAAATTGCAACCCGATTGATAGATACCTACTCTTTCTTTTTATTTGAATAACACTAGATTTACCCACAAAAATTGACATGTGCTCTTCTGTTAACAAATATGTTGCGGTGAATTTCTTATTGTATCCACTAATCTGATCATTAGAATTAGACATGTCAGTTATCTATGCATTATCTATTGTTGAAAATCTGGAAGAAAGGTGATTCTTCGAAAGCATTAATCACAACAATATTACATGAAAATTGCAGACTCGATTTGATCGAGTCTGTACATGAGGGATGATGAAAAAGTGCAACATCCCTCATGCCCCCCCCCTAGCACCGGCTTGAGCGGTTCTTAATTTTCAACACTTAAAAGCGCTGGAACCAATGATCCAGAAGGCCCAGAAAAAATATAACACACTGAAGCGAAGTACGGGACAACTTCTCACAGCTGCCACACGGCACTTGGCACCTGTTGTATACGAACAATACACTTACTATTATTACTAAAACAACCAATCAGTAAGTCTGATTTGGACTAGTGGATATAATTGATATCATGCAAGAAGAAATTTTTTATTTGCATAAGCTTTTGTTAAGCTTGAAATATTTTGTATATAAAGTTTATTAAGCATTTCGTTTGGGGTTACCATATATTATGGGCATAATTGCAGATACGGCCGTGTTTTGGCTTACCTCACCGAAAACATTCATTGCAATTTACATCAAATATTGATTAACAATTTTTATTTTGAGTATTTGGCTTTAAGTAGCAATGCGTTATGGGTATCAAGCATGTTTTTTTTGTCTTGTCATATAATTTTTCTTCCAGTTTACATGAATTTCATATAAAAATCATAAATTTTAATCACAAAGAATACATTCATTGGAAACAAACATGGTATCACTTGCTTTAAGAAATTCATTATTAACTGTAAAAAGATTACTACTAAACCTGTTCCATCTCCTTATGCATGATAAATTGTTTTGATTTTTATGTACCAAATTTCTAACATTACTGCAAACATTACCCTTTTCTTTTTGTATCTCACATTGACTACTATATTTATTTATATGCATATACAAGATGATGTACTATGTGCAAATCTGAATAAATCATTTGTCCTGTTCTTTTTAATTTTGTTTATAAAGCATTCGACAGAGAATGTGCAATGTGCCATCTAAAACTGTGAATTGTACCAAGATGTATTTGGTGAATATGAATAAATATGTATCCTTGTATTTTCTCGACACATTGATAACCACCTGGCAAAGTACTGATAATAATCATGCCTATATACAGATAAATAATGCAAGAGACAGCTGATGCGAGCAAGATTGTATCTTGGTTCGTATCTTATTAACTACAAGTATGTCATTATTTGTATTTTTTTCAAATATGTGACATTATCCTGCAAAATGATCTTTCGTGTACAATAATTCGTTTCAATAAATGATATTTTGTATTTTGCTTAATTGCTTGATATTAACAGACATAGTAAAAAACACACCCTCGCTAATTTGATTATGAAAAGCTTATAAAGAAGAAAATGGTGATGCTAAGGCTTGAAATAATTGCTTGAGCATCATACTTGACTTACACAATTTCATATACAGTTTGATATATTGTGCAAATATAGAAGACGAAATGAAAGTAATTTCTGTTTATGATCGGCAGTCTCTTGTTTCTTGATACAAATCATAGCAATATACATAAATTTAAAGAAATGTGTTTGTGGAAATGTTCCGAAAATGTGATCATCGTTTACGACAAATCATCAAGAAATCTGCTTAATAATAGCGACTGAATATTTTGTTCTATTTTTGTTTGTGCTTCATGTGTATTAAATACTAGGGCTCTTTTTACAATAAATTCTAGAATAAGAAAGGAACGTCACTGTATAGTTTTTAAATCATTATGGAATATTGCTAAATTGCACAATGGTAAAATGATAACTCAATAATTCTTTCAATAATGGCTATGGCTTTCTATTTGTTTTAACCATTTATTCTGTTTGGTCAACAGAAAACAGTAGGAACGTAAAACGGCAACTATCCAGTTTTTCTTATATCATATTATGAGCTATGGTGATATTAAGGCCTACTGGGCCAGGGGCTTAATTGTATTTGTTGATATTATTGCAGATTTGTATTTTTTTAATCCCCGGTAATAAATAATTTAACTACTCGATAATGTTTTGTTTGTTCCGTGTTCAAGTTGAAACTTTGGTAGAAATATATTGGCAATTTTGCTGCTTATAGAATGGCTTCATCACTTACAGATATTTGCCTCATTCGGGAACATTCTCGAAGTGGCAAGGACTATACGTAATTGTCAATGATATTCCCATTTTGCTCAGAAAATCCCTTCAAGTATACTGCAAATAATGTACGATATTTCAATATTTCAACATTTATAGACTCTTATTGTTTGCATCATACACAGTCATAATAGATATAACGATCACAACCAAGTACAAACATAAATTATGCAGTATGCTATCTTTTCTTGCAAAATTTAAATTACCAGATATATTTTGCATGTGATAATGATAATAAGTGAGGAACTAAATATGAATAATATTAGATAGTGTAAATGGTGTTTAGATAATAATCTGTTAATTACTAGTGAATTAGTACTTTTCTAAACTACAGCTACTTTTAGTACTACTACGTCATATAGAATATTTCACAGAATATCTCCAATATTACAAAATTATCTGCCTATGTTATACAAAATATAACATCATCATACATTTTTGTCCTTTCTTTTTTTTATCAGACAAATCATCATGATTTATTCACCAGTCAATGAATATTCAATGAACCATTGTGATTGGTTGATAGGTAAAGTATTTATCTGGAGAATTATTTTATATGTATATGAGTTTCTTACCAGAGGTACACTAAATGACAATTTTTCTTCGACATAAAATGTAATGATGATGATCATGGTATGAAATTACTTCAATTTTGTGTCTCGCTTTTATGCCATACATCAAATTACGCTGACGATTAAATATAAAAAATTCTCCAATATTAAATTCTGCTATATCAGCATTTTGTCTATTGCTTATCGTTCTTATTTTCTTCGTTGTCTGACGTTTACAATCAAGTGAATAGGAAGATGGTTGATAAATAAGGCTAGAAACCAATCGGCAATTCAGCAAAATATAAAAGCTTATGATTATTATCCAAAAAGGACCATCTGCCACCATATGACGATAGTTTTGGTTGTACTTTGCATGCTTATAAAAAGAAATAAAAAGAGTTTTGTCCACAATCAGAGTGTTTTGAATGATTTACCAATATACTTTTCTTGAAAATCATTATACTTTGTACAATACTTAATTTAAATATCAGGGAACTCATAATGCATACGTAAAGCAAAAATAGTTTGCTTATTGTACGTGCGTCGGTGCACGACATTCCGTCGTAGACACTTAACAGAATATGGCTATTGAAATAATACGTCATTTTAGTATTGCAGGTTAAATCGTGAAAAAATCTTTGCTTACAAGTGATGTAAACAGAATTGGATGCCTTGTATGTTGCAATTTGTAAATAATTAATAATAATCAAAGAACATTATGCACGATAATGTCGCATGCAGAAACAGAGAATAAACTTTATTGCAAATTCATCGTGCACTAAGAATGAAAATTTTATTTCTAATTATCACTCGGAACATGCTAAATACTGATTTATCTGGTGCTTTGATGTAGTCCAATGAAGCCAAGAAACTATAAATATTTTATTACTCTGCATATAAATTATTGCATAATACGTAATTACTACACTGTTAATATATGGATGTTCGTTTGTTTTAGGAAACAAGCTAAAATTACTCAAAGTAATATATGATCATTTCTGAGATTCATGTCTTAGATAAGTATTTTACAGTGGGGCTATAAATTACCTTATATGTAATTGAATAACATATAATAATTCACTTAATTTAAAGTTTTTATTATATTTTAATTGCACGTGTATTAATTTGGGCCGTTTAGTTTCAACATATCAACGTTTATGAGCATTAAAAAACACATTAAAACAAGCCCCCTCATATCATTCGCATTAAAAACGGTATAAATAAATGATACATTGAAATCTATCAAAACTGTAATTCGAAATATAACATACCTTTGAAATCAAAACCGGAATGAAAAAAAGTGAGTTCCCTATCCCAACACTGTTTTATGCACTCATTATGAAACTATATCGGCAAGTCATGCGATTGTTTGCATGTTATCGAGCAATTGTTATGTTACTTGAATTATACTATTTGCAGAGAGTTGTTATTGATACGGAAATGCATGATTAATGCATTTTCTATGACGTCAGACGTATACAGTGATATATGCTATAGGATGAAGCAATTTAATCATACACCGGACTTTATCTGGCCATATTTTTTCAATTAAGGAAACAAATGCATGTTATGACAACATAACAAAAGGCGGGTGAGGGCTTAATGTTTACACACTTCCTATTACATTTGCGAGAGGTATTTAAATGACATGTTAAACGAATTAAGTTGTTTTTTTCGCTTTATTTGTTATTTTTGAAGCATATCCGCAGATATACATTGACCCGCATCATACTTATCAAGTAACTAGAACGTAAACTTGACATAAAATTGTAATTATTCAAGAGTATTACTTTGATATATGTCTGCATATGTTCGGTAACATACTGTTCCATTCAAATTACATTACATGTACTTAAAAGTATTAATTAGCTTATAACTTCTTCTAGGAACAACTAACCAACTTATTGTCATAATTCATCATCTAATCATTATATCTGTAATCTAGAGATGAAGCCGTATTTATAATGTACTTTAAAATCAGACGTTGCCAAAGTTAACATTACATTTCTACGACATAAGATCTCTTAATGCGGACCGTAAAAAGACATTACTTCGATTTTGTGTCTAATATTTATTCCATACATCAAATTCCGATGGCGTTGAATATGAAACTGTCTAAGCTAAAATTCTGTTATATCAGCATTTATTCAATGCTTTGTAATTTTCTTTTCTTCCTTGTCTGGGATTTAACAATCAAGCGAGTAGGTGGTTGATACATGAGTCTGGGAACAAATTTTCAATGCAATAAAATAAAAAAAAATCATAATTTCATTAAATTAAGCCTTTTAATAATAACTTTGTCGTATATGTAGTATATATGTATACTTAATGTCCTAATATGACAAACACATAGTTTGTTACATCAGTTAACTACAGATAATACTAAACACTCTCATTGTCCGACGAAAAGGCCGAGTGGTTACTAGTAGTCAATGATTGCTAGAAATATGGGTTCAAGCCCCTTCGGGGACAAGCAACTGTTATCTTGAACAAGAAATTTCACTCTCATTGCTTAACACTGGTCGTTTCAAATTTGTGTCTATTAGCTACGAACACAATCGAACAAAAATAAGTTATGTATAAACTAAATTAATGTTTACCGTTTGATTGAACATAACATTTGCAATTGATCTTAATGTACTTTTTTGTATTCTATTCTGAAGCCAAAAAGACATTGCTTTTACGAAATATGTAAAACCTAAATAATGAAAATATTATTCAAACTTGTTTTATATAAACTGTACATTACAAAGACACGTTATTCTATATTGTCGTAAATTGTAAACTTTTGCAATACACCCCTTCTTACCGAGTTAATAATCAAGAATACTATTTGCTTGTATGATATACACTGTACCTGCTTTTATTTGGCAACAATGTACTATTAAGAACATTATGCACGATAAATGTCGCCTGCAGAATCAGAGAATACACTTTATTGCGAATTTATCGTGCAATAAGAATGAAAATTTTATTTCTAATAATCACTCGGAGCGTGCTAAATACTGATTTATCTGGTGCTTTGATGTAGATTCACGAGGCCAAGAAACTATAAATATTTTATTACAATGCATACACAATAATGCATAATATGTTATTATTATACGAATATAAACACATGCAATCTTAACCGATTTATATAAGTATCATTTATTAAGATAATACTAGTACATATGCGTAACTCAATTATGACATTGGCAACATATATTAATGTGTATAGAGACATATAAATCAGTTTAATGTCTCTTTTTGTGAGTTTTATGTTGTTTCTGATGAACACTGGAAGGTTTAAGAATGACAGGCCTTTGCATGCAGCCCGACGCGAACTATTTCTAAGCTAAACACTATACATTAACATATCGTTTAAATTGACCGGGATAATGAATAATTACTATATGAGCATTGTTTTATGTGCTCGTTTTGCAGATGTATTTGTATTTGCATGTCGTCTGATTTGTCGTATCTTTTTTTTGTATGTTTAAAACAATTAATTACATTACTTGATTTATCTATATAGTTGCAGACGACAATTGCAGGAGAGAATGTTATTGATGCGGAAATACGTGATTAATGTGTTTCCTGGGACGTCAGACGTAGACAATGAGATATGCTTTAGGATCAAACAATCTCATTATGCACGCGGATATATCTGACGATTCTGAAGATAAAAAAAATACAAACACATATTATGACAACAGAACAAAAAAGCTAGCGGAGGCTTAATGTTCATATATTTCTATCTACATTTGCGAGAAGTATTAGTTGTTTCGCTTTTGTTTATAAAAGTATTCCTGAACCGCATATAAGTTATTTTACTAAAAAGCACACTTGGCTTGGCATAATTATTGTCAATATTTCAGTTGCTTTAAGAATAGCTCATATTTCATAGTTAACTCTCTTCTAATTAAATGTTTGAAGAAGAATCAGTAAGTTTGATTTTGTTCAAAGACGAAATAATCAACTTAACTTAATCGTTAATCATTTTGTAATCATTTTGGCAAGTTGATAAATATGTTCTTTATGAAGAGACATTTCCGTGTTTATATTTTCCTATATCCTGATATTGCCGAGTAGGTTTCTCTGCGATATAAGATCTGCTAATGCGGACCATAAAAACAAATTACTTCGATTTTGTGTCTTGCATTTATGTCATACATCAAATTTCGATGACGTTTGAATATGAAATTGTCTAAGCTACTATTCTGTTGTATCAGCATTTATTCAAAGTCTTGTTATTCTTTTTTTCCTCATTGTCTGGGATTTTACAATCAAGGGAGTAGGGAGTTGATTAATAGGTTTTGAAACAAAATGTCAATTCAGCAAAATGTTAAAGACACAAACTTTCTGTTTCTATATGACATCCTTTGAATAAGTAATGGTTGTAGTTGACATCAAGCTGAATGATCTGTCAAACCAATGATTTTGTTCGTGACGTCTGTTTACTAGAGATAATACAAAATTGTACCATTTGTCCGACGAAATTAATGTCCATCGTATGTTTAACTAGAACTTATTTTTGACTAACAATAAACTGTAAATTCATAAAACCATTATAAATCAAAATATTAATCAAACCTCTCATATGTAAATTGTACAAGTCCTAGCAGAGCACTATTTGCTACATGTTGTTGTAAATTGTATACATACCAATGTTCTTGTTTTGTTTGGTTTTACGGCGCACCAACACAATTTAGGTCATATGGATCCGAAACAGGAAAGATAATTTTGGCTGACCTTGAATGTTACAAATTTAAAGCAACACCAGGAGTCAAAACCACTTCACCTAATAAAGCTGACTGCAGTAATTCGAACCCATTTAGTGGCTTCTTACGATAACGCAGGGTTAAACGATTATTGCAATTCTGATGTCTCAACCTTTAGAGGCAAACCCTCACCCACAATGGGGATCATTCAAATGTTTCTTTAAAAAAATTCTCCGTATTTGCCTAATCTGCATTGTACTTGCTGGTATTTGACAACCATTTACTATTAAGAACATTATGCACGATAATGTCGCATGCAGAAACAGAGAATAAAATTTATTGCGAATTTATCGTGCACTAAGAATGAAAATTTCATTTCTAATTATCACTCGGAACATGCTAAATACTGATTTATCTGGTGCTTTGATGTAGTCCAATGAAGCCAAGAAACTGTAAATATTTTATTACTCTGCATATAAATTAATGTGTATTACCTAATTATTACCCTGTTATAGACATATTTTATAGAAACAATAGCTAAGGATTGCTTAAGCAATTATTTTACGAGGCAATCGAAATAATGACATATATCACGCGCATGCGCATGAATATTATCATTCGTGAGATTTATATCTAAAACTAGTGCAGTATGGCAACAAAAGTTTTTATATGTTATATTAAGCTCATTTATTTTAAGTTTTAGTGTTGTAATAATGGGTCGGTTAGTTTCAGCATTTGAGTCAAACGAAACGTATGCACATTGTGTCTAAAAACGGTATAATAATACGTTGTCATCTAGTAAAACTGTCATTATACATAACAGTTTCAGTAATTACGTTGATTGGTTTATCTATATAGTTGCAGACGACAATTGCAGGAGAGAATTTTATTGATGCGGAAATACGTGATTAATGTGTTTCCTGTGACGTCAGACGTAGACAATAAGATATGCTTTAGGATCAAACAATTTTGTCATGCACGCGGATATATCTGATGATTTTGTGAGTAAATGGAACATTTTCACGTTATGGCAACATAACAAAAGGCGGGTGTGGGCAATATGGTTTACATTTACGGCTAAAACAATGTTCAGGACAAACCTAAATGTTTTGATGAAAATGAACTGTAAAAATTGTTATTTTTTTTATGTTTTTTTTTCTTTCCTTTTTTTAAACTATCAAAATTGTTTATTTCAATACAAAATATCAGTTTCAATGTGTATTCAGTGAAGGCAAAGAAAAGTAAAGTAATAGTGCAATTTCGCAATTTTTAAGTGGAAAAATTATAATTTTCGCGCTGTCAATTAAAAGGGTAAGGCTATTTGATAATTATACCATTACAGCATATAAATGCAAATATTTATATTTTTGTTATATCTGAAATATTTAGTTTTGTCAATATTTTGTACAAACTATGGATCTTCAAACACTATTCCTATAACGTATGTGCAATTAATTTGATGTTCAAATACGGCACACGTGAATAATATTTTAGCAAGGCAGCTTAAATTTTCAACTACTATAAATGAGGATCATTGTATGGTTCCTAACTGAGCAGGCAGCAAATGTTTGATTACTTCTGAACTTTGCCAAACCGTTATATATTTTACTACATACTTGCATGTGCCTATCTCGTGAATATTGCAATGCAGATAGTGCTTAATTACAGAACATCAGTAGCATATATATCTATATCTAATGGA